GCACTGAGGGTCCCGCCAGCCCCACAGGTCTGCTCCTGCAGCTAATGAGCCCAGCGCCAAAACTTTAAGGCTGAGAGAGAAAGGCCGAGCGCAGGATTTATTTGCATAGTGACTGGGCTGCTCTTGGCGCTTACTCTTTAAAATAAAGTCCACAGCAAAATATTTTTACCCCCCTCACACACAGGGAATGCTAACAGCATCGGGATTTTTCCCCCTCTTCTGGCTGAATCTTGTTTTTATTCCCCTCCTTTGTGCCTCTCTGAATCCTGCCAACGTAGAGATTCCCTTGTTCAGAGAGAAAAAAAAATAAAAAAAAAAAGAAAAAGAAAGAGAAAAACTTAAGCCTGGGATTAAAAACCATCACTAAAATAGTTTGAATAACAAAGTCAACTGACTCGCCGGGAGCCCGGTGAATGCCTGTCACGTATCGCCCTTCGGCCGGGGGCACAGTCATGTGTTGCACTAGATAGTTCCTGGAAAAGCTTCTGCTCAGCCCGATAGACCCGCGGCTCCTGATACCAGAGTGTCCTCCCCACTGTCCCAGAGGGCCGTGGAAAAGTGCCAGAGCTTATAGGGATGGGGGTTAAATAAATCTCCCCTGGGGCTTCCTGAAACCTGAATAACAACCAGCTGTAAATAGTGATCGGAACCAGCACCCCCTTCCCCTCTTATTGATGTCTTTAGCAATGGGATTTATGTTTTGCATACTTTCAGCTCCATAACCAAAAAAGTGAGACCTTACATGAGATAAAAGCAGAGGGTTTGTACATCGGTCGCAGGTAGAGCTACAACACCATGTCTTACCTGTCACGTGGGACCACGCAACCAGGAGGTGTTACTGGGGGGATTTGTACCTAAAACTGAAGCCAAAAGACAGTGGGTTTACCCTTTTGCTGACACCAGCAGCACAAACCTGGAAACGCAGAGGTGTAACACAGCTTAGCGGGAGGGATGATGGCTCAGATAAGGCCACGGCTGTGTGGGAGGACAATTAAAGGCTCAGATTTATTA